TAAATCGCAGCGCTGGGCATTGATGGAGATACGCGTGTAGAAAAGTGCAAACACAGGATGTCCAGGTGGCTGAAGCACCTCCATGTTCGCTGCAATTATCTCGCCCTCGCCGCAGGTATAAGCCCCTCACGCCTTCTGTGGCGGCGGCGCTGCCAGGACCACGCCACACACAGTCAGCGGGCAGCGGCAGCGTGTCATAGCCTGTGTTTGTCTGAAGGGTAGAGATCTGTGATGGAGGGATGAGTGGAGCACAGATGGAGGGAGGAGGACAGGCTGGGAGGGAAGAGGACAGGCTGGGAGGGAGGAGGACAGGCTGGGAGGGAGGAGGACAGGCTGGGAGGGAGGAGGACAGGCTGGGAGGGAGGAAAGGAGGAATGGAGGGAGGTTTAGCAGCCTAGTTTCCTCCTGGATGATCTCCTTCCTCCTTGATGGTTTAACGGAGCTGGAAGCTCCGCCTCTCTCTGTCCTCCTGGTTTTCCTCTGCTCTGGTTTCCAGGGATCCCCCCCCCCCCCCCCGGTCTTTCTCAGGAACACGTTGCAGGAACATGTTCAAACTCCCTCCTTCCTTCCTAGGAAAGGCCCTGCAGCCTCAGAAACATGTTCAAACTCCCTCCTTCCTTCCTAGGAAAGGCCCTGCAGCCTCAGAAACATGTTCAAACTCCCTCCTTCCTTCCTAGGAAAGGCCCTGCAGCCTCAGAAACATGTTCAAACTCCCTCCTTCCTTCCTAGGAAAGGCCCTGCAGCCTCAGAAACATGTTCAAACTCCCTCCTTCCTTCCTAGGAAAGGCCCTGCAGCCTCAGAAACATGTTCAAACTCCGTCCTTCCTTCCTAGGAAAGGCCCTGCAGCCTCAGAAACATGTTCAAACTCCCTCCTTCCTTCCTAGGAAAGGCCCTGCAGCCTCAGAAACATGTTCAAACTCCCTCCTTCCTTCCTAGGAAAGGCCCTGCAGCCTCAGAAACATGTTCAAACTCCCTCCTTCCTTCCTAGGAAAGGCCCTGCAGCCTCAGAAACATGTTCAAACTCCCTCCTTCCTTCCTAGGAAAGGCCCTGCAGCCTCAGAAACATGTTCAAACTCCCTCCTTCCTTCCTAGGAAAGGCCCTGTAGCCTTAGAAACATGTTCAAACTCCCTCCTTCCTTCCTAGGAAAGGCCCTGCAGCCTCAGAAACATGTTCAAACTCCCTCCTTCCTTCCTAGGAAAGGCCCTGCAGCCTCAGAAACATGTTCAAACTCCCTCCTTCCTTCCTAGGAAAGGCCCTGCAGCCTCAGAAACATGTTCAAACTCCCTCCTTCCTTCCTAGGAAAGGCCCTGCAGCCTCAGAAACATGTTCAAACTCCCTCCTTCCTTCCTAGGAAAGGCCCTGTAGCCTTAGAAACATGTTCAAACTCCCTCCTTCCTTCCTAGGAAAGGCCCTGCAGCCTCAGAAACATGTTCAAACTCCCTCCTTCCTTCCTAGGAAAGGCCCTGCAGCCTCAGAAACATGTTCAAACTCCCTCCTTCCTTCCTAGGAAAGGCCCTGCAGCCTCAGAAACATGTTCAAACTCCCTCCTTCCTTCCTAGGAAAGGCCCTGCAGCCTCAGAAACATGTTCAAACTCCCTCCTTCCTTCCTAGGAAAGGCCCTGCAGCCTCAGAAACATGTTCAAACTCCCTCCTTCCTTCCTAGGAAAGGCCCTGCAGCCTCAGAAACATGTTCAAACTCCCTCCTTCCTTCCTAGGAAAGGCCCTGCAGCCTCAGAAACATGTTCAAACTCCCTCCTTCCTTCCTAGGAAAGGCCCTGTAGCCTCAGAAACATGTTCAAACTCCCTCCTTCCTTCCTAGGAAAGGCCCTGCAGCCTCAGAAACATGTTCAAACTCCCTCCTTCCTTCCTAGGAAAGGCCCTGTAGCCTCAGAAACATGTTCAAACTCCGTCCTTCCTTCCTAGGAAAGGCCCTGCAGCCTCAGGAACATGTTCAAACTCCCTCCTTCCTTCCTAGGAAAGGCCCTGCAGCCTCAGAAACATGTTCAAACTCCCTCCTTCCTTCCTAGGAAAGTCCCTGCAGCCTCAGGAACATGTTCAAACTCCCTCCTTCCTTCCTAGGAAAGGCCCTGCAGCCTCAGAAACATGTTCAAACTCCCTCCTTCCTTCCTAGGAAAGTCCCTGCAGCCTCAGAAACATGTTCAAACTCCCTCCTTCCTTCCTAGGAAAGGCCCTGCAGCCTCAGGAACATGTTCAAACTCCCTCCTTCCTTCCTAGGAAAGGCCCTGCAGCCTCAGGAACATGTTCAAACTCCCTCCTTCCTTCCTAGGAAAGGCCCTGCAGCCTCAGGAACATGTTCAAACTCCCTCCTTCCTTCCTAGGAAAGGCCCTGCAGCCTCCTCCTGTGTCAAAGCGAAAGCAGAGAGCTGTGCAGACATGAAAAACACGGAGTGGTTTGCCAGCCTTCCGGCCCGTTGCCAGCCGCCTCCCCGGGTGTGAACCTGAGTGGGGTTGTGTGATCGGAGTGGAGAGCGGAGCGTGTGTGAGCCTCGGAATGCCGAGGCTCGTAAGTCACCTCTGGTTTTTCCACTCCCGCTGGGACACATCCCATTATCAGTTTTATATGAAAGTAGGAAATTCCTCTGGGGTTTGGGCTCCGAGCCGCTTGCTGGTGGTGGGAGGTCCCAGCGTGTCTGATGGCGAGCAGCTGAACGCCGGAGACTTTTCTCTGTTTGTTTTGCTCAGCCTGCAGAGGCGGCCCATCCCTGGATGAGGCCTCGGGCCGTTCCTGCTTTCAGGCCCCTTCCATCTGCTCCTTCAGAGTATGTTACAGCAGACATGTTGAAATCAGCTGTTACTGTTGGTCCTTATCCAAAGCTTCTTTTGGAAAGAGGTTGAATTAAAACGGATCCAACTCATAAAGAGTGATAATAATATTATCCCTTTATAATATTAATCTGTATAATATTAAAGTTGGAAATATCCTTTGAAAATAAAATAAAATACATGAGGTCTCACATTAGAGGAGAACAAAAAAAAGATCATTTTGCTTTCAAAATGGAACCACCCCTGGACATCTGACCCAGGTCTCCTTCCTTCCTTCCTTCCTTCCTTCCTTCCTTCCTTCCTTCCTTCCTTCCTTCCTTCCTTCCTTCCTTCCTTCCTTCCTCCTTCCTTCCTTCCTTCCTTCCTTCCTTCCTTCCTTCCTTCCTCCCTCCGTATCTCAGTCATTAACAGTTCAGCTAATTATTTCCTGCTGATTAGTTTTATGGCAGGAAGGCTTTTATTTTGAAAGGCCTAATTGTTATCTCTGTTGCTGGCAGCTTGCAGGCTCCAGTAATACCAATAATCAAAGACACTGTGTGACACGCTGAGCGTCACTGAGCCGGATCGGAACCGGCATGTCCTGGGTCCACTCGGAACACGCAGAGAAGCTGTTTGTTTGGAAAAGTGTAATAAAAGGTTCTGGGTGCTGCACAGCTGGACGGCTTTATTTTCCTCTCTGGAAACAGTCAGGATGGAAACTCAGCAGTCAGCCCGGCCGTCTGTGTGTCGGTGTGTGCGCTCCGACAGACATGAAGAAGAAAAACAGAGTCACAGTTTTTCCTTGCCTCACTCCTGGCAGACCGGAGCAGAAGGACGGAAAAATCAGATAGTGTGTGCGGCACATGTGAGGGCCCAGTTCCCCGTCGGACTCGTCACGTGTTCAGAACTTTTTCTGTGTTGCTTCGTCACGCCGAGTTTAGATGTTGTTGGTCTGGTCTGGCTGAAACTTTTCTCTCTTTTCTCGTCTAAGAGCATCAAAATAACAGGAAGAAGTTAAGCAGCCATTAAGCTTTATTTTGAAAGGCCCATGGGATCGCCTTCTCTGTCTGGTTGATCTCCATTATCCTTAAGCAGCCATGAATCCATCCCATACCTGCCAACCCTAAACCAGGCGTCCCATACACTTCCTTAAACCTTCTATTTTACAGAGTTCGTTTAGTCATTGCTGACTAAGTTGCCTTATGAATGCAACATGCTACTATCTGCATGCTTTTATTTTGAAAGTGTTTGTTTAGTCCTATTTAGTTCCAATAATGTAGAAAACTTTTATTTTAAGCCTATGTTTATATATTTTTTTTACCTGAAATAAACACTTTGAATCCTCAGTTTAGATCCGTTTGTCATGAGGAACCTGCTTTTGTTTTAATGTAAACTATGATATAGTAAAGCTTTTATTCTGAGTCTAAAACACAGGCAGTGAGTAAGATGCAGCAGCTGCAGCCAGACAGAGCAGAGCGACTCTGTTCATCCATTACAGATTCATCACAAAAATAATCCCTGGAATATAAATTAGGGCTGAACATAAACAATAATTAACCTTAGTGTGAAAACGTGCTAACATGCTAGTGATAACTCACTAGCCTTTTTGTGCGAGGACATTTAGTGACAATCTAGAGTCTTATACTTGTTTATTATAATGCGACTCAAACAGAGACTGCGCAATTTTAAAATTGCTTTCTGTTAATTTGCAATTATTTTAAATTAATTTCCCAGCCCTAATGTAAATATAATATTTTATTTTCTTTGAACCAATTGCAGTAAAATAAATCCTCGTAAGGAAACGTGATCCTGGTTTATAGGACGGTCGGCTCCACAGAGAGGTGGTTCTTCTCTGTTTGCTTTACATCTATCTGCCATGTTGGACCGTGTTTCTGACGCTTAATGTTTAAGAATTTAAATCTAAATTCGACCCATTTTAAAGGAATTATTGGTCGGTTTACTTTTGGGGTTTTTTTTCAGAAAAAGTTTGAATAAAAAAAAAAGAAAAAGTGTAAATAGGAGAAATGAAAAAGACTTTCCTGCTTGACTGCAGAAACTAAACTTCACACCTTCGTTTCCCACTTCCTCTACTATTTCCTGTTCACACTGCGTATCATCGACTGTTTAAATTTAGACATTTAGAAGCTTTCAGCTTCCAAACTTTCCGCTCCCTCCTTTATTCTGACTAAAGGATCAAACTCAAACTGATGATGAATCTGATGTTTTCTCTGACAGGATGGCGCCATGAGGACTCTTCCTGTCCAGACTCCTGCTAGCAGCTGAAGCAGGTCGGCGAAGCGGCAGGTAGGCCATGATGCTGTAGCTCTGATGGAGCGATCCGGGTCAGAACCATCGGCCCGGATCAGAACCTGCTCCGTCTGCCGGGAATATGAGACACAAAGGCTGTTTAAACACACGGAGGTGATGATGATGATGATGATGATGATGATAGTGATGATGATGGTGATGATGATGATGATGATGATGATGATGATGATGATGATGATAGTGATGATGATGGTGATGATGATGATAGTGATGATGATGATGATGATGATGATAGTGATGATGATGGTGATGATGATGATGATGATGATGATAGTGATGATGATGGTGATGATGATGATGATGATGATGATGATGATGATGATAGTGATGATGATGGTGATGATGATGATGATGATGATGATGATGATGATAGTGATGATGATGGTGATGATGATGATGATGATGATGATAGTGATGATGATGGTGATGATGATGATGATGATGGTGATAATGGTGATGGTGATGGTAGTGATGGTGATGATGATGATGATGATGATCATGATAGTGATGGTAATGATGATGGTGATGATGATGATGGTGATGAAGATGATGATGATGATGATAGTGATGATGATGGTGATGATGATGATGATGATGATGATAGTGATGATGATAGTGATGATGATGGTGATGATGATGATGATGATAGTGATGATGATGGTGATGATGGTGATGATGGTGATGGTGATGGTAGTGATGGTGATGATGATGATAGTGATGATGATGGTGATGATGGTGATGATGGTGATGATCATGATAGTGATGGTAATGATGATGGTGATGATGATGATGGTGATGAAGATGATGATAGTGATGATGATGATGATGATAGTGATGATGATGATGATGGTGATAATGGTGATGATGATGGTGATGATGGTGAGGATGATGATGAAGATTTTGATTATGAAGATTATGATGATGATGGTGATGATGATGGTGATGAAGATGATGATAGTGATGATGATGATAGTGATGATGATGATGGTGATGATGATGGTGATGAAGATGATGATAGTGATGATGATGATAGTGATGATGATGATGGTGATGATGATGATGATGATAGTGATGATGATGGTGATGATGGTGATAATGGTGATGATGATGGTGATGATGGTGATGATGATGATGATGATAGTGATGATGATGGTGATGATGATGATGATGATGATGATGATGATGATAGTGATGATGATGGTGATGATGATGATGATGATAGTGATGATGATGGTGATGATGGTGATGATGGTGATGGTAGTGATGGTGATGATGATGATAGTGATGATGATGGTGATGATGGTGATGGTGATGGTAGTGATGGTGATGATGATGATGATGATGATCATGATAGTGATGGTAATGATGATGGTGATGATGATGATGGTGATGAAGATGATGATAGTGATGATGATGATGATAGTGATGATGATGATGATGGTGATAATGGTGATGATGATGGTGATGATGGTGAGGATGATGATGAAGATTTTGATTATGAAGATTATGATGATAATGGTGATGATGATGGTGATGAAGATGATGATAGTGATGATGATGATAGTGATGATGATGATGGTGATGATGATGGTGATGAAGATGATGATAGTGATGATGATGATAGTGATGATGATGATGGTGATGATGATGGTGATGAAGATGATGATAGTGATGATGATGGTTTGCATGAATCCAGCCCATCATGATGACCTGCCACCACCAGAACCTCAGCAGGTCTGGAAGAACCACTGATCTGGTTACAGATCTGACCCAGTCAGAGGGAAACTGGTTCTGGTTGGTTCCCCAGCCCAGAGGGTCAGCGTTAACCTCCCAGCAGCTGCAGCAGAGACACCAAACATCTGCAGCGGTCTGTGACCAAGCTTTTATTCTGAAATCCCAGCCCGACGGCCGCCGCAGCCTCATCGCTGCCCAGCCTCTTCCCAGAATCCTCTGACTCACCGAGACTAACTGCCAGTCAGCTGAAAGCGTTCAGCGGAGACACCGTCTGCATTGTGCGCCTAAACGGGTCGGGACGTTCTGTGCGGTCACACCTGTGGAGGTATTCACAACCTGCAGAACCAGAAAAACCGTCCTTTCATCCGCTGGTTGGAGTTAATGCTGAGAGAAGCAGGTGGAAGGTTCTGCTGCTGAGGTTCTGGTTCCAGGGATTACATCACACAGACCTCAAAGAGGCATGGGAAGGAGACCGCGGCGAGCATCAGATCAGATGTTCTTTTCATCGCCGCCGCCATCTGCAGTATAACCTGTCAGCTGATGACACCGGCGACTAGGGCTGAACGATTTTGGAAAATAATCTAATTGCAATTTTTTTTCTTTATATTGCGATTTAATGCAATTTTTTCCCCCAGTTTAATTGATCATGTGTTTTTTTAAACATATACAAAAACAAATTAGGTGCTAAAAGACACGCTGTGTCCTAATTCACGATCGCGTTCTGCCTACGATATATTTCAAAATTGCAATTTAATTTTGACTTTTCTCTACATAACCACAGGCAGCAAAAATTGCCTCTAAATAATTGTAAACAAGGACTATTTAAATCAAGAACTTTTAATGTTTTTATTAATCAGAATATTATTCAAGAGAACAGCTTTTAACTGATTTGGACATCAGTCCTTGTTGAACATCCAACCAACAAACCAGTCTATGTAATAAACTGATTAACTGGTACTTAGTGCTATGTATGAATATATAAACTCTAAAACAAGTAATAAAATTAGATTATCTCACTGCTGCAACTGTCTTCCCTTCCATGTGGAGGCAAATCCACTTTAAACATTTTACTGACACCTAAAGAACGCGTCTGATTCCCTAATTGTTACATAGCCAAAAATTGCAGACGTCCGCGATTTGGAAATTGCATTTTTTTCAATCGCAATTATATTGAAAATGCGATTAATTGTTCAGCCCTAGCGGCGACATGCTGGCCCAGATTCTGGGTTCAGGTTCCTGTCCGTCCCTGAAGGGCTTCTGCTTCCAACATGGAGGAATCCCTAAACCTTCTCAGCTCGCTGTGACGTCTTATCTCTGCTTCTGTCTCCTTGAACCCCAGTGGGCCTCAGCAGATGGCCGCTCACACTGAGCCTGGTTCTGCTGGAGGTTTCTTCCTGTTCAAAGGGAGTTTTTCCTCTCCACTGTCGCTACACGCATGCTTAGTGTGAGGGATTGCTGAAGAGTCAATGAGTCGATGCAATCAGCTGGTTTTCCTTAGATAGAAAACTTTGAATCAATCTGACTGGATGATCTGGTTGAACTGGAAAGTGACCTGAGATGACATGATGTGAATTGGATGGATATCCATCATGGATCATGGATGGATATCCATCCATGATCCATGATGGATGGATATCCATCATGGATCATGGATGGATATCCATCCATGATCCATGATGGATGGATGGATATCCATCCATCATGGATATCCATCCATCATGGATATCCATCCATCATGGATATCCATCCATCATGGATATCCATGATGGATGGATATCCATGATGGATGGATGGATATCCATCCATCATGGATATCCATCCATCATGGATATCCATCCATCATGGATATCCATCCATCCATGATGGATGGATGGATATCCATCCATCATGGATATCCATCCATCATGGATATCCATGATGGATGGATATCCATGATGGATGGATATCCATCATGGATATCCATCCATCATGGATATCCATGATGGATGGATATCCATCATGGATATCCATCATGGATATCCATGATGGATATCCATGATGGATATCCATCATGGATATCCATCATGGATATCCATGATGGATATCCATCATGGATATCCATGATGGATATCCATGATGGATATCCATCATGGATATCCATCATGGATATCCATGATGGATATCCATGATGGATGGATATCCATCATGGATATCCATCCATCCATCATGGATGGATGGATATCCATCCATCATGGATGGATATCCATCCATCATGGATGGATATCCATCATGGATGGATGGATATCCATGATATCCATGGATATCCATGATGGATAGATAATTGGAGCTATAGAAATTGGAGCTATAGAAATAAACTGAATAGAATGGAATTGACATCAGACAGAGGCGGCGTTCAAAGGCCTGCTGACTGACAAACCTTCAGACTGGACAAGACTGAAAAGGAGAAACTGAGGCTCAGTGGTTCTGTCTGGTTCTGCCTGGTTCTTTCTGGTTCTGCCTGGTTCTTTCTGGTTCTGTCTGTCCTGTCTGGTTCTGCCTGGTTCTTTCTGGTTCTGTCTGTCCTGTCTGGTTCTGCCTGGTTCTGTCTGGTTCTTTCTGTTCTGTCTGGTTCTTCCTGGTTCTGCCTGGTTCTTTCTGGTTCTGTCTGTTCTGCCTGGTTCTGTCTTGTTCTGCCTGGTTCTGTCTGGTTCTGCCTGGTTCTTTCTGGTTCTGCCTGGTTCTGTCTGGTTCTGCCTGGTTCTTTCTGGTTCTGCCTGGTTCTTTCTGGTTCTTCCTGGTTCTGTCTGGTTCTTCCTCGTTCTGTCTGGTTCTTCCTGGTTCTGTCTGGTTCTGTCTGGTTCTGTCTGGTTCTGCCTGGTTCTGCTTGGTTCTGCCTGGTTCTTTCTGGTTCTGCCTGAACTGATTCCCAGTCCATTCTTGGCTTTATTCTGGCGCGGTGTCAAAGCGGCTCTGGGAAGGTCGGTTCTCAGGAAGTCGGGGTTCCTGGTAGGATGAGGAAGTGATGCGAGGTTTCATCAGAGTGGTTCCTGCCAGCAGCGAGGCGGAGGAGCGAAGGAGGAAGAGTGTCATCCATCCATCAGGTGTCAGTGGGTCACCATCCGTCTCCACCCACGCCGTCTCCGAGCTCCACAGCATGTGTTTCCCATCTGGATCCGCCCTCTCCCTCGCCGCTCCGCTTCATGCTGACCTCTTTCTGTCGTCTCCGACCGCCAGATGACACAAACTCCCATCATTCCCCCCGA